TGTCGTTAATTACGTGATCATAGAGAATTCTCTGTTGTTCTTGGACAGATGTAATATGTTTTTCCTTCGATACGATCCGTTTAATTGTCATCTGAGGATGGGATCACATGATTGCGATCTTCCAACGAACGATCTCACAACGAGCGAGAAGCAACCTTCGTGCGAGCGGAAAGAACAAATCGCTAATGTGAAGTAGAAGTAATAAAGAATTTTTTGTATTTTTACCCACTGAAGATGGCTCAATGCGGAGCCGAAACGTTTGGGTGATAATTATTATTGTTAAATATTTGTAATTTTAGCACTAACTTCGTGCAAGGCTCACTAGCCCTTCATTTGATACTTCTTAATTTTTAATTATATGAGCCAGATTAATATATTATATTTCTAATTTTAATTGTTTTACTTTTATTGATAGTTCGTGAACACTACAATGTCCTATTTCTTCCTGTTACAATCTGTCAGTGATAAAGGCGAATAAATATGGACAAATATATATTTTGTAAACGCTAGCAAACTCATGAAATCATTACATTATTAAGAGAATATAATAATGCAAGTACAATCAATGTATTATTAATTTATCATTATATTACCAGGTAAAAAAGTTATTGCATAAAATATATATAATTACATATAAAATATGTATATATACATATTGTTCATTTCTCTTGTATAAATTCTGTCTGTTACTATAGGTATATACATACATACATATATATGTATATAGTGGCGGACAAAAGAAAGTTTTGAAGTCGGTACCTGTGTACATGAGTATTCGTAAAAATAAAAAAAATCTTTAAGGTAAATGTACCGTTTGCTGAACGAGACCAATTTCTGAACAAAGACATACATTTTTATTAATATTAAGCTTCTTCTAATTCAAAATTTATCCATATACGAAATACAGCCATATTAAATAATTGAAAGTATCTAGATTTTGATGTGAAGAACATTTCATGTGTGAAATATCATCTGTATTTTACAAAAATAGTTTTCTTTTTTAACCATTTTGCTTAGAAATATCATACATATCTTAAGCGAATTTACGTTTAATTTATTGAAATGTAAATATGCTGCATTGTAGCCATTTTGCTCCAATAATGAGGTAAGTTGACACATATCACGGTATAAGTTATACCGACATAACCTCATTAACGCCGAGACACGACTGTGTCTCATAATACGATAAACTCCATGTTAGATTAGGTACGTCAAATTAATGAAAACGTAGTAGAAATAAAAAACAGATATGTACTTCTTAATAAAAATAATACCATTTAAAGTTATTTTGTTATAATTGACTAGCAAAATAATGTTGCAGAAAAACGAATGTAAACTACTTCATATATAGCTAATTGTTTCAATGTAGAAATATCATATATAAAACGTTTTGTCAGTTAAATTGTAACTTTAAATATAGTATCGTAGACTTTATATATATTAAACATTTTTATTAAAGATTAATGATACCTTACAAAAATTGTAATATTTTTATACTATTACATAAATTTCTTATTATATAGTACTTATTCATAAACTTATTATTGCATAGTTGACTATTGCAAAATAAAATATTTTTTAATCAATAAAATAAAAGGCAAAAATTTTAAACAAAACAGAATCACAGAATTAAGATTTTTGATCTTACTGATTAAATAATTGTATGAAAAACATAAGAATGCACGAATTTCTCAAT